CAACAATCGGCATGCCATGTCTGTCACAACCAGAAAACGAGACTGTTTGGGGACAAAAGTCTATTGTCATTTCACTCATGTTAACCGACGTCATTTTAGAATTAGAACTAGTGGATTGCTCGGGCGATAATTGTAGATTATATAAAGAGTTACTAAACTTGAAAAGGTAATAAATATAGATATAGTAATGTTTTTCTATAAAAATCATGGCTCAGATATTCAATATTTTTAACAATGTGTGACAAAAATGTTGTGACCGTCTACTAAAAGGAACTACACAAAATGATCGAATATTATATCTATCACACAGGTTATAAGTTGTGTTTGATACCAGATGAATAGTTGAGATAATATATAATGTTGTTCAAAGACTACCGCGTAAATAAAAGGAAGAATAAAAGGAAGAGAAAAAGAAAAAGCAGCATGCAAGGGGCAATAAAACCTACAATCCATGAGCAGGCAAAATAGAAGAAATGGACAAAAGAAACGGACGAAGCAAAGAACAAAGAAAGAAATAAAAAGATGAGTATTATTAGGGGACTGAAATTAAACAGTAGAGCCTCTGTTTTTTTTTTTTTTCCTTTCTTGTCCTCGAGCAATTTTTTTTTTTTTTAAAACAGTAACAACAGAGTCGAGAAGCAAAAGCTCAGTGATAGAAAAAAAGAGTTAGTAGATGTATAAACAGTTTTTGAATTAAAAAGTAAATGCTAGGCTTTTTTTGGTTTACATAAAAAATTAACAACAAAAAGGAAAAGCCAAAGCTCAAGGGTAAAAAACAGAAAGATGGCAAATATGTAAGCAGTTTTTGAATGAAACAATGAACACGAAGAAGAGGAAAGTCCTAGAATAAGTAAAAAGACCAAAAAAGAAACTACCAAATAAGGACAACATATTCACAGTAATCTTTGGACAAATGACATAAAACTCAACACATCAAGATCAATTATATTCATCATTGTTACGGCAAAAACTTATAAGTTGTATCTGACACAGAGTATGCAATTGTACTAATATATAAAGTTATTCAAAAACTACCAAATAAGTTAAAAGAAAGAGAAAAGAAACAATAATACTAATAGAACAATAAAGCCCACGCCAAAAGAAAGTAAAAGAAATGGACAATAAAAACAAACTGAACAACACTAAATAGGATGATTAAAAGATGAAGAATGTCATAATAGTAATAAAACAGAATAGGAGGATTTTTGTTTTTGTTTTTCTTTTCCCACAATTTTTTTTTGCATGAAAATGCATACGTAAATAATTACTGAACAAAAGAGTAAATAGGGATAAGGTAAAAGGTCTAATCTAAGTAGAAATAACCCAAAAAAAAAAGTACCTAAGTATTTTTACTAAAAAATAGTATATAAAAACATAATCGAAATAAGAAAATGTATTCATAGCAATCTTTAGACAACTTGTATATAATTTAACACATTAAAACCAATCATAATCATCATTGCCACCTAGAAAAACTTACCAAAACTAACATACGTAAAAATATGTATATATGTGTGTGTGTGTACGTAGCTAAGAAAAATAAATAGGAAGTCAACACATGAGCATTATTTACTAAACAACCACAATAGAAAATAAAGATCGATAATAAGACACAAGGAATAAACATTAATACCGGCACAACAAACCAATACATCCAACAACAGTAGCAATTAAAAAACTATGGATAAGGGTTATAAATAGTACCTGGATGACTATAAATTTTGCTTTACGTCTGAAATATCAGCCAACCAAACGTGAGCAAAAGCAGTGAAAGAGAGAAGGATAAATTGATCAAGCAATAAATGATGGAGAATGAAATAGAGTAGTAAATGAGTAAGGGTAAGATAAAGAGGCAAGAACGTGGAATGCAAGAAAATGGAACAGAGATATGCATGATAAATTTATGAGCAGCAACATGGTTAAATAAAGAAGAAGATAACAGATACATAGCTTGTAAAAAAGGCACACGTAATTGTATGAAGTCAGTTTATAAAAGGTAAAGAACTAAAATTTCCTAATTAAATAATAAAAACAATGTATTACTCATAATAAGGAAAAGAAAAAAACAAAGAATTAAAATACAAATATAACAATGCCCTTAGGAAAGGAAAACAGAGGAAAAAAAAATGGCAGCGGATTTTTTTTCCTAAAATTTTTCGTTCATCACAAATAATGAGGAAAAATCAGGAATCCATTTAATACCTCTGTAGCAAAGCAAGCTAGATCATCATTATAGCAGGACAAATCAACATCGTGCACCCTACACATCAGCAACTCAATAAATGCGGGAAAACAAAACCAGAATCAGCCAGAAACAACACTGAAGCATCCAAATAAAAACTACTCTCCCAATAAAAGAACCAATCCAGAACAAACACAAAGCGTTCAAGGACAATTTCTCAAAAACCATTTATGTGATCCAATCAGAAATTGCATCAAATCTTAATAAATACCAAAAAATTTAAATGCATGAAGCACAAAAGCAAATAATAAAGAGAAACGCAGAAAAGGATATCAAAACCAGAGGGGAAAAAAGGGTCGAACATGCAGCCCCCCAAAACGACACAAAAATCTAAATAAAACATAAATCAAATCAGGACAGAGGCAGCCTAGAAAAGCTGCAGAAAAACCCAAATGAACCGAAGGAACATCCACCAAAACAATAGGAAAAAATCAAACCAAAGCCACAACTTAAAACGCCCGAAGAAGGAAGCAGTAAAAGCCAACAATGCCGGCGAAAATCAAGAGAGAAAGGCAACAAAAATGAAACCATGAAGAAAGGCGAAGGAGGAGAAGAAAAAGACAAAATGAAAGAGGGATAAGAGCTTAGGGTTTCAATGAGAAACAACAGAAGGCATAAGAGCTT